GATCTGATTAATAGAGCCCGGATGGAAGGAGTGGCAAATGAACATTCATTCTTCAGCCAAGGCGTGTTAGCTGCTTACTATGTGGTACGCACCACTCTAGAGCCTGGACTCAACAAGGAACAACCCAAAGAGCCTACATTGTAGCGGGGAGACACGTGGAACAAACAAATAAACAGAATCCATACTCATTGGTGATGAACCCTAAGGTGGGGAAAAAAAGATAAAACTGCAGACATGGGGAGAGGTGCTATTTTATACATATAGTGTTGAGAAGGATGACTTCCTACATAGACCAGAATGAAGATATTAATCAAGGTCGTGAGACTTGGATTAGATAAAGGAAGGCAGCGAGGGGCACGAGGAAATGGGGTGGGAAAGAGATGACCCTTGTGAAAGGTCAGAGTCATGCTAGCCTTTGGGTGAGGGGTGGTTCTATTTATTGAATAAGTTAAACCTGCAGTAGAAGTTTGAGATTTGGGAGGAAATGTGTTCAATTTTTTTTAATTTTAACTTTGATCTAGACTAACCCTTTAATTCTACAAATCCAGAAACTATGTCCAGTGATTAGGAGTCGCTAAAGGTCATAGGGTGAGCTAGTTACAGCGTCAGGACCCTCGACTGTTGCTACGTCCCCGGGACCATCACCAAACCCTCCACTCGCCCAGAAGGAAGTTCTGCTGGACACGCTCCCCACCCCCCAGCTAGGAGCCCTCTTTAGTAAATAGTCTTGGGCCCCAGTCAAAGGGCAAGGTCCACACGCCCGTGACCCGATGGTTGCCTATGAGTAAGAGGGTGTGTGTAAGTAACTAGAGGGAAGATGGTTCCAGGTCCAGGGCAAGAAATGCGTCTCTGGGCTCTCCTTGGTGACTCTTCCTCCAGAGACACTAGGTGGGTATAATACTCTCTACCTTGCTATCCTCTGGTGGGTGAGGGTTCAGGGGTGGTCTGGTTACAGCACTTAATGGGCCCTCCCCATCCCAAAACAGAGATCAACTCTCCCCAGTGGCAACTGATAGGACAGTCCTGCCTCCTCCCCCTCAATTTTGAACATCCTGAATTAGAGTTATCTATGGTTCTCTCCAGCGAAGATGTCCATGAGCTGTTAGAGAAACAGGTCTGAAGCCAGGGAGACATATCACAGCTGAGATATCCAGCTGGTCACATAGTTTTGAGAAAAACTGCAAATTTTCAAATATCTGAGCAAGCCTAGAAATTCTGCACAATTAAAAATACAGAGATCCTACAGGTAATGCATGCAGTTTTGAGACAGATAGAATAAGAGTATTAAGGGAGTTTCAGAAAGATACATCTAAGAAATGATCAAAAGTTAAGATTGTGCTGTCCAGGAAGGCAATGAAAAGTTTCAGAAAGCCACAGATTAGGAGAGTAGAGAAGAACGTGAGTGCTCTGTGTTAGTCCTAGGTCCTGGAGACTAGTACTCAGAAATTAGCTAGGATAGTTTATGATCGGGCAAGCTGAAAGGATGGCTGAGGTTCCACTGCTTTGCAAGAAAGTATTAGAAAATTTGGGTTCCAATGGTGATGGAGCCTTGTACCCATGCATTGGTAAGATGTAGAGGCATCAGGCCTAGTGAGAAAAAAAAAAAGAGGTCTGATAAGGGACTCTGGCAACCCCTCAGTTTCCATATTTTACATTCACTCACCATTTCCTTGCATGAACCATTCAAAATATTGTTCCAGCGACTCTGGCTTCTTAACAAATGTTGCAGTACGCCAGAAAAAGTAACCAGACACCAAAGTATCTTTGGGGTTCCTGATGAGATAAATCACCTTAAAGAGAAAAAAAAGGTAATAAAAAAAAATCAATACAGTTGTTTTCCAACTTTCTCGATCATCATAAAAATAGAGAAAAAGCCAGTTCCTAGAAAATGCCCATTAAATATCAGTGGATCCTTTTTAATAAATTAATTATTGCATTCATTAATCAAATATTTATTTTAAAGTTCCTATGAACCAGTCACTGGGGTAATACTAAGAATAAAACAATGGAGGAGGGAAGTATCATCCTTTCCCTTTGGGATAATATGATTCTACTCACAATGGGAAGCACTGGAAGATTTTAAAAGTTGTGTGATATTATATTTGTGTACTATAGTTTAAAGATTACTAGCAGAATAGATTGACAAATTACGCTATCCTCATAGCTACACGGCAATACACACACACACACACACACGCACCCCACCACCATGAATAAATCTGAGACATTATTGCTGGGGGAAGTCCTGGAGAGGACATGACTGCCAGTTGACCTGTGAGCTGGACCCGGGCAACTGGAGGCACCTCACCCCTTTCTGTGTCCTTGGAATATGTGTTCCATTTGCCTTTCTTGCCCTGGAAGCCCCCCCAAGGACCCAGTCTTGAAATGGTAATGTGGTGTTGAGACCATCTGGAGTGTGTACGTGACTGAACTCAACTAAAGCCTCTATGTAAACTTTTAAGATGGGGTGGGCAGGGGCAGAAAGCTAATGGCCTTGCAGCTGCCCAAGGCAACCCTCCTGGCGAGTAAGTTCCCTTGCTAATTAAACCTGCCACCTCCCAGTCTGGAGTGGTCTGTCTCTTTCTTTGGTCTCTTCCTGCCCTCTGCATATGGGGTCCAGTTTCAGATTATGCCTGGCAAGCAACTAAGGAGGTTGCAAATCAACAATTAGGTTGAGTGAAAGAAGCCAGATGTTCATGCGGTCTGAGTCTATGGATATGAGGTTCAAGAACAAGCATAACTAATCTATAGAGTTAGAAGCCTAGGGAGAGGTTACCTCTGCGGGTCGGCATTGACGGGGCTGGGGGTGCAGGAGGAAAGTTTCTGGGGAAGTGCAAATCTTCTAAATCTGGATCTGCAAGGTAGTTGCCTAGTTTGTACATGTGTGAAGATTCAACAAGCTCATATTTAAGACTAGCGCCCACGTACACACACACATGCGAGAACAATTGGCATTTGAACATCTGAGTCATACTCTGCATTCTGCACCAGCTATGAGACATTATTCTAGGCCTCAGCTCTCTCTGGGCCTCAGTTTCCCTACATAGGGATTTAACAAAATCAGTAAGTCCTATGTAGCTAGGTGAATTAGAAATAATCCTGGAAAGTGATGGGTTTAAAAAAAAAACACCTTTATTGTGCTGCAACACATTGTGAAATTTCCAAGAGAACTGAATAATATTCTAAGCTTCACAATCTACTTTTTAAATTGAAGTATAGTTGATTTACAATATTCTATTGCTTTCAGGTGTACAACATAGTGATTCAATAGTTTTATAGATTATACTTCATCAAACTTATTACAAAATAGTGGCTGTATTTCTCTGTGCTATCCAATATATCTTTGTTGCTTCACAATCTAATTTAAGCATAACACATTAAAAAAATTACAAACCAATTAACCCTTTCTAGGAAATTATGTCTCTAAAAACAATCTGAGATATGCTAGATCCTGGATACCCGTGGCCCATTCTGGGCGCCATCTGTCAGCCCCACCAGAGAGTCAGGTAGCTGCTTAAGCGCAATAGACAGCTATTTATAGAAGTATATACTGGTTAGAGGGGAGAAGGGTGTAGCTCAATGGTAGAGCACATGCTTAGCATGCATGAGGTCCTGGGTTCAATCCCCAGTATATCCATTAAAAAAAAAAATCTAATCCTCCTCACCAAAAAAAAAAAAAAAAAAAAAAGAAATACATGGTGGTTACAAAACCCAGCCAGGACCGGTAGTTGCCCTGAATTTAGGCATTGACTTATGAATATGCTGCCTCTCCTATGGGTAACTCCAGTGCTTCGACCGAAACAACAGGAGGCATTTATTGACGAATTATTTTTTAGAGCAACACAAGGGGGTTATCTGGTATATAATATAGTTATAAAGTCTGATTGGGTTTAAAAGGAGGTTTTCTAAGATTTGACATTATTGTTTCACTTTGTCTCTGGTTTATATCTGGCTAGTATAACCTGTAGAATGATTTTACACCCTTGTGTTCAAGTCTGCACGGTGGCACCACCAGATACAGTATCTCAGGCGCCGCCCCATACCTACTGAATACAACTACATTCCAACCAGATCTCCAGGTGATTCCCACCCAGGCAAATTAAAGTGTGGCAAGCACTGATCAAACACATCTTGACTATTGTGCACTGACCTTGGCCTTGGAACTGAAGAAAGACTTGGGGAAGAGTTGGATGGGGAGGTGGGAACTGATGAGTCGTGGGCCTTCCTTATCCTTTATTACATCATATCCAGAGAAAGTCTCTACCCAGGGTGAGCGTTCCCATATGGGCACAGATTGGATCCACTTGGTATCCCCTTTGGTATGAATCAGGCAGACTGTTTCAATCAACCAGTTCGTTCCTGGATTAAGAATCAAAAATTATGGTCAATCATTTTCATCTGACTTAAAAAAATTGTGATAAAATATACCTATCATAAAATGTACCACCCTAACCATTTTCAAGTGTATAAAGTTCAGTAGTGTTAAGTATAATTACACTGTTGCACAACCAATCTCCAGAACTTTTTCACCTTGTAAAACTGAAACTCTGTACCAATTAACAACAATTTTCTACTCCCCCCCCACCTCCAGTCCCTGCCAGTCCCTGGTAACTACCATTCTACTTTCTTTTTTAGTGAGTCTGGTTACTCTAGATGTCTCATTTAAGTAGAATCATACAGTGACTGGTTTATTTCACTTAATATAATGTCTTCACAGTTCATCCATGTAGCACGTGTCAGAACTTCATTCTTTTTTAAGGCTGAATAATATTCCATTATATGTATACACTACATTTTGTTTATCCATTCACCTGTCAGTGGACACTTGGGTTGCTTCTACCTTTCGGCTATTTGCTTAACTCCTTTGAATATATTTCCATGGTCCTTGGCTTTTCACTGTCACACCACTTTCAATGTCTTCAGCCTTAGTCCTTGCCCAGTTGCAGCCCCTCTACTACCCCTCCGTCCATAGAAACATGATCCACCCCCTTTCAGTCCCTTGGATTTGCCAGGATCTCTTCTAATCCCTGACCATTATCCATGCTGATACCTTTAACTGAAAATATTCCTTTTCACAAAATAATTTCACATTCATTCTTTTCATCTCAATTTAGATGCTACTTCTTCCACTTTTTTTTGACTGTGATAGTTGTGTTTTATTCCCTGCCCCACTCCGCCTGTTTTATTGATATAACTAAGAAATAAAAATGTATATATTTAAGGTGTACAACACATTGATTTGATATATGTATACATTGTGAAATGATGACCACAATCAAGCTAATTAACATATATATCATCTCATGTAATTACCTCCCATCCCCATTTCCTCTGTAGACCTCACTGCTCATCCTCCTCCACTCCTCTGCACAAACACCTGAATCTGCCTCAAGATTCACTCTTATGGGTCCCCTAATACCTTTAGATTACCCACTCTGAGCACTCATCTGACTGTGTAACTGCCAGGCTAAACCCTTTTCTCTGAACGTAAGTGGTCTTAGGGCACAGTTCTATTCCTCCCAATGCACTGTCAACATATAGAAAACATTCCATTTGTCTGCTGAATAAATGAGCCCGTCTCAGTATCTGATTCCACTTCCTTACCTGATTTGGGGTAAGTCAGCAATATGACGTCCTCATCTTTAAACACAAAATTCTCCCACACGTCTCTCAAGAGTTCAGGTGAGTAACCTGTGGACGGGAAAGCTATCCCTTCAAACCACACATAGTCGTCCGTCATCATGAAGAGCTCTTTGTACCTCGTGTAAGAGTTTCAACTGTAGTCACTGTTGGCGGTTGCAGGAGCTGCTGGGAGATTAGTTTTATAATAAAGGTAAAGCAATCATTAATCTTTCCTAGTTTATTGAGGAGTGTGCCTGCTGATAAAAGTAGATGATCACAAGATTGAGGATATTGAGCAACTGTGAAGTCATTCAGAGAACATTCAGGGGTAATTTGGGTTTGAACTCATGGGAGAAAACTGGGAATTTAGCAACAAGCTCAAGGATGGAGAAATGCGGTGAATTAAAAAAATTTATTCAAATAAGCTTTATTTACTTTTTTTGTTTTTTCTTTTCTTTTTTAAAATAAGCTTTATTTTTTACAGCAGTTTTACATGTATAGAAAAATTGCAAAGACAATACAAAGAGTTCCCACTGTCCATAAGTTATGCAGATTTCCGTAATTTTTATCAAACGTCCTTTTTCTGTTCCAAGACCCCATCCCAGACACCACATTAAACTGAGTTTTTATGCCTCTTTAAGTCTCTTTGGGCTGTGACAGTTTTTCAGAGTTTTCTTGTTTTTGCTGACCTTGACAGTTTTGAGGAGTACTGGTCAGGTATTTTGGAAAAGTCCCTCTGTTGGGGTTTGCCCAATGTTTTCTCAAGATTAGGCTGGGTTTATGGGTTTGGGAGTGGAAGAGCATAGAGGTAAAATGACATGTCAGCCTGACATATCACTGCTGAAGTTGACTTTGACCACTTGGCCGAGGCAATGTTTGTTACATTTCTCCCCTGCAAATTTACCCTCTCTCATCCTCCCTTTCTATGTGGCATATTTAAAACATGAACTCTAGACCTGAATGCATTAGTGAGAACGCATTGTGTAAAATGTAATTGAGTGGGCAGAGGGTATAGCTCAAGGGGTAGTATGCGTGCTTAGCACGCATGAGGTTCTGGGTTCAATCCCCAGAACCTCCTTTAAAATAAATAAGGAAATAAATAAACCTGATCACCTCCCCCACCAAAATAAGAAAAATAATACAATTTTAAAAAATTTAATTGAGTCCTATTTTTGCAAAATAATTGTCTGGTACCATTCAAATTGTCAAATTGTTAATGAAAAAGAAAAGAAAAGAAAAGCTGAGGATATGCTCCAGGTTAAAGAAGAATGTAAACTAAATCCTGGGTTGGCTCCTAGGCCACAAAATATGCAATAATTCATTATCAGGACAGTTGGCCACATTTGGATACACAATGTGAATTAGAAGATAATGTTGTGGCAATACTAAATCCCCCAGTTTCTATCATTTTTGTGTGGTTATAAAAGAAACATCTCTGTTCTTAGAAAATATACACCGAAGTTTTGAGGGATAAAAGGGAATAGGATCTGTAACTTACTCTCAAATGGCTAAGAAAAAAAATTAATATTATATGTGAGGAAAAGAGAGAAAATGTTGCAAAATGTTACCACTCGTAAATCTGTGTCAATTGTAAACAAGAATTCTTTGTGCATTTCTTCTAAGATTTCTTTAAATTTGAAGATAAATTTTAAAAATTTGAAACTAAATAAATAGATACAATGATGATAAAATGCTGGAAGGAAATTGAGAAATCACGGATTGATATCTTTCTTTCTGAGCACAATCAATAACCTCCTTTAGACTTCCTGATGTGAGGTTGAGTTTAGATTAAACCATAACTGGAATATAGGAACCAGTTCTCCTTTCCCATTTAATCATTAACACACTGAGAATTTACCAACTGCTTCCAGGCTTTAGGGACTGGGCTAGGAGAATTCTCGTATCTGCCACAACGAAAATCCACAATAACAATTGTTTTTTATTGCTTCCCCCCAGTAGAGGGCTCTAAGGGCCAATGGCTTCCCATGTTCACACGACAAGCAGAAGGGGGAGTCCCCACTGAATATATGGAATATTGACTCTAGGAGCACTGAAAGAAACATCCAAATAATAAAATAATACCATTTGCAGCAACATGGATGGACCTGGAGATTGTCATTCTAAGTGAAGTACGCCAGAAAGAGAAAGACAAATATCATATGATATTGCTTATAGGTGGAATTTAAAAACAAAACAAAACAAACAAAACAAACGTACTTACAAGACAGAAACAGACTCCTAGACACAGAAAACAAACTTATGGTTACCAGCGGGGGAAGGGGGTGGGGAGGGATAAATTGGGAGTTCAAGATTTGCAGATTCTAACTACTGTATATAAAATAGATAAACAACAGGTTTCTACTGTATAGCACAGGGAACTATATTCAATATCTTGTAGTAACTTATGGTGAAAAAGAATATGGAAACGAATATATGTATGTTCCTATGTGACTGAAGTATCGTGCTGTACA